GGTGACCCATTGCATTTTTATTTTCTTTTATTTTTCCTGAAATTTATTACCAATTTAGCGCACTGTGTAGAAAAATACCAAACAAAATTATTCCATCGAGATTTGAAGGTAAACAGTGTAAATTTCTTTAAAAAGATTTGAAGGTACTTTTTTTAATTGAAATCTATTTGAAGATAAATATATGAATAAAATGAGATTTGATGGTAAATTGTGTAATTTTCTCTAATAAGTTTGGCCCGAATCATTAGGTTAGGCCGCCCATGCAAGTAGATGGGCCTTTGCAGGTTACTTCTAAAGAAAAGATGGCCCAACAATAAAAAGGACACTACTACACTGACATGTGACGGGCAGACGGCCCAGGTTCACTGAGTTGGTCCCAAGCCCATGCAACTAGTGGAGGAAACAAACACAACATTTTGAAAAGAAAATTTGTATTTATTACGGTTTGTCTTCAGTGTGTTTGATTTAGATGCACCTTCTCAGGCCGAACATTTGCAGTTCTGGCGAAGTTCTCTTAGAGCCTGCAATTTAACCAACAAATTTTCAAAAGATCAGATGAAATTAAAAAATTCTAAAAAAAAAAACATGAGAACATATTAATGATTTCTAGATCTTCTATCCATGTTGTACCATGACATGCATTATTACCTTGTACTGTTTCTGTAGGTCTTTTATGTACTCAACAGCAAAATCCAACATGTCTGCCGTGTTTGTTTGCTGCATGCCAAAAATATAAACCTTAGCTTTCAGAACAAAAAAAGTAACAATTTAAAAAAAAAATCCAAATGTAAAAATGAAAAAGATTGAAATTGTGTATAATCAGGGTTTTTTTAACCGATCGATCAGCACAGAAAGTACCTTATCCATGTTTGGTACAAGGTCTTGCAATTTTCTCATTCTTTCACTGATTTTAGTCCTTCTCACCTGTACCATATCATAAACATAAACTCCTAGCTTAAAAATTATTGAACTTTTGAAATTTAAAATCGACTTCATTAAAGCTTGTTGTGTCCTATATAGTATTTACAGACACTTGAGAACACATTAATAATCCTTTGCTTTGAACATGAAAAAACAATAAAGGGTACTTTTTTTAAGCATTCAAATGCCTATATACACTAAAATTCGATAAATAGTGAAAAAAAATTCAGGAATTAAAATTTACCCTCTCGGCTATGCTTCGTGGATGAGTGGCAAAACCTCGTTTGGCACGAACTTTACAAGGAACTCTGTCTTGAAAATGCAATAATTTCTCCATAGCACCAAATTCAGCTGCAGAACTCTTGGGTAAACTAAAGTGGTGTGACAATATATGTGGCCTATTTCCATGCTTCACAGTCTGATTATTTAATTAAAAAAAAAAACAACAGTAATAAAAAAAGATGAGTTATATATCTGTATATATGTAACTCAACCAAAAAATAATTTAGCCAAATTCAAGACTTGTTTTTTAAGAAAACAACCTGAGAATTAGCAAACGGCACTCGGTCATCATCGTCAATCTCCCTCTTGATCCCAACTGGGAAATATTCAGCGTAATACGAATAATCATTGCCCCAAGATCCATAGCAAGAAAACGAATTTTCACAATTGTTGGTTTCGATTTTTGGCTCGTCCGCGACTTCTGATATTCGGGACAACATTCCAGAGGAAGAGAAGTTCGTGCGATTCCTTAATCTCGACCCAAAATAATCTGCAAACCGACGATTTATTTAGTTATCAACGAATGCGCGCAATTTTGCCAATGCATCATGGTAAAAATTTACCAGTATAAATTTGGACAAATTAGCACCAACAGTCACATTTAAAACCCACCATTTTAGTTAAAAACACACTTGTAGCATAATTCAATCTTCAAAAAAACTAGGGCACATAATAACAAACAGAGCATAGCTATGGTAGTCTCTGATTCACAAC